ATTTTTTTTTTGTTTTGACTATGGCAGACCAACACGGCTACCTATCTGTAACGAAGCATGTTGCAGTTCAACATGCAACTTTCTCTCTCAATTGATTGTTTAGCTTGTAATTTAAGCTTCCTGAACTTGCACTAGATACCTTTATGGGAATATTGCAATCCATTAATGGGTTAATATTGTTAATGCCTCCAAAGGGCAACCAAAATGGTCAAAGGCCTGGAAACGATGCCTTATGAGGAACGGCTAAGGGAGCTGGGCATGTTTAGCCTGGAGAAGAGGAGGTTAAGGGGTGATATGATAGCCATGTTCAAATATATAAAAGGATGTCATATAGAGGAGGGAGAAAGGCTGTTTTCTGCTGCTCCAGAGAAGCGGACACGGAGCAATGGATCCAAACTACAAGAAAGAAGATTCCACCTAAACATTAGGAAGAACTTCCTGACAGTAAGAGCTGTTCGACAGTGGAATTTGCTGCCAAGGAGTGTGGTGGAGTCTCCTTCTTTGGAGGTCTTTAAGCAGAGGCTTGACAACCATATGTCAGGAGTGCTCTGATGGTGTTTCCTGCTTGGCAGGGGGTTGGACTCGATGGCCCTTGTGGTCTCTTCCAACTCTATGATTCTATGATTCTATGATTATCAGAACTCACGTGCAAAGAACACCTAAATCAGTTAACCGTCTATTTGATTTTGTGCCATAACTGTTTACAGTTAGATTCTTCCCTTGCAAAAGACAACACTTTTTCTTTGCTCCCCTTATTTTGGCTTGCTTGCTTAAATGCGGGAGATTTTCCTGAATTCACGGCTTCAAAAAATCTGGAGATGTGTCCCTCTTTGTTGCACTTGAAGCAAACCATTTTTCTGGTTGTAGCCTTGGCTCTCCTTTGGGACACAGAGTTGAGTCACTGCGTCTTACACTGCTGGCTGAAGAGTTTGCTCTTTTCTCCACATATTCCTCTTTCGGGTGCCCAATTGCATTTCCTAGCGTTAAGTTTGGCTTATAACCCATGAGAGTTGCAATTCTTTGAAATTTAGGTCCTGGTGTCCCCAGGAAATTGCAAACTTTCTGTTCCTCATCCATTTTGTATTGTGAAATTTCTAGCTTTTCAATAATTGATAGGAACACTGTCATGTGACTGTTGGTCCTTCTTGGATTCAAGCTTTAAATTAAATAAATATCTCACCCAGGCACAGTGTGAACGCTTGCTTGCTAATCAAATGCTTTTTGCAAATTTTCAATCATCTGAGCTGATATGTCACCTCTCTCTGTGTGAACCATTTGGGCACCTGAAATACCATTCAGAATGATAGACACTGCCAATTTATTCTGCTGCTCCCACTCCTCTGAGGCTCTGTCCTCAATGGATTTCTCTTTCTCAATACATTCTAAAATACCTTTAATATCATATTTGGCTTCTAATCATTTTTTACACTGGATGAAATTGCTTTGTGCAAGCTTAGGTAATTTGAAGCTTTCTTCAACAACAGAATTCCTGCTATCCATTTCATTTTAGAAAAATGAAAAAAGAACCCCCCCCAATAAAAATTTGAAAAACTGCCATAAATAGAACATTCTCAAAATCTCCAAAAGGAAAGTAAAATTATCTAAGCCTGTTTCCTAAAAATCCGAAACGAAAACCAGAAAGCCAAAATCCTTAAAAGGAAAATAAGTACCGTATTTTTTGCTCTGTAAGACTCACTTTTCCCCTCCTAAAAAGTAAGGGGAAATGTGTGTGCGTCTTATGGAGCGAATGCAGGCTGCGCAGCTATTCCAGAAGCCAGAACAGCAAGAGGGATTGCTGCTTTCACTGCGCAGCGATCCCTCTTGGTGTTCTGGCTTCTGAGATTCAGAATATTTTTTTTTCTCGTTTTCCTTCTCCAAAAACTAGGTGCGTCTTGTGGTCTGGTGCGTCTTATAGAGTGAAAAATACGGTATATTTTTATCTTGCTGTTCTGCATTGGAAGAGCAGGTCGACAAAGTAAGGGTGTGTTACTTCTCTCATAACAGAACCAAAAGCACCATGTGGCAACTAGGAAATAAAACACAAAAAAAATGTTTTTCTGGTTAAAAATCACTTTTGAAAACCCAAAACTCTGCAAAATACTCTTACAACTAAAGTCCTTAACTCTGTCCTTTACTAACTAGCATGGATATGTATTCTTATACTTATTTCACTGCTTCCAGATTGGATGGCTGCAGTGCACTGTCCTGCACAGTACAAGATGCAGCTGCTAGAGTATTAACTGGGACCAGTCAATAGACATGCATCTTGTCTGTGTTGAGAGACCTCTGCTGGCTCCTGGTCATTTTAGGAGCCCAATTCAAAGTGCCTTCAACCAGCCTTCCCCTGCACGATGATCTTCAGATCCTGCATCTTCAGCATGGCTAATGGTCAGTGATGATGGGATCGGTAGTCAAACGACATGTCTGTGGCACCAGGCTGGGAAAGGCTACACAACTTGGGACCTGTTTATCTAACGAGGTGTTTGCTTCCGCATCAAGCCAACAAGCACTGTAGTAATCTTTGGAGGCATCTGAGGTGAAGCAGGTAGCAACCAGGGAGAAGATCTTCTTTTACGTGGCTACTCAGCTTACGAAATTCTCTCTTTGGGGAGTCCTGCCTGACACCTATGTACATATCTTTTTAGCACCAAGCAGAGATCTTTTCATTTTCCATTGCTTTTATTTCCCGAGGAGTTATAGCCACTGGTTTTATTCAACTTATTTGCCCATTGTCATTTATTGGCTGTTTACGATTTTTATTGTAAGCTGGTCTGTCAGTCACTGAGCTGAAGGGTGCCACAGAAAGCCAATAAATAAAATGCAAGTGTTGTCTTCCTAGATCACACTGATAGTCCATCTATTCTAGCTCCTGTTCCCAGCGGTGGCCAACCAGAGGTCTCAAGAGAGCTCACAAGAGGAACATAAAAACACTTTGTTTCAACCCTGCATTTGGTCCCTTGAAGTGTCCAGAGGTTTTTTGGCCGGGCTGGGCTGGGGGTGGATGTTGACCCTCATGATTGAGGAGATTTTTTACAGTAGATACGCCTTTCCTCCTTGTAGCTTGCCTCCTGCAACCCATTTCCCTGCAACGTGTTATGATGTGGGAAGCAGGGAGGGGGGGGAGCAGTGGGTGCAGCTAGGACTTCCTCTTGGTTCCCATAGTTCCCACTTCAGGTGAAATGAACTTCCCAAAATACTATATGATGCAGCGGGATTCCTTGGCAGGTTATCACTGGGAAACCAATTTTACATTAACCTGAAGGTAATCAGTTTAAGGCCACTGATGATCTGGAGGTCAAGCACAGATGGCTATTGCTGAATTCCTCTCCTTTTGGTTCCCCCCTGGATAACTGGTTGGTTGTTGTGGAAGACAGAGCACTGGGCTAGGCTGGTCTTTTGGCTTCATCCAGCTCAGCAAATGTTACAGCTATACCATCTCCAGAGCAAAGAGTTCTGTACAGTATTTTGGCTGGCCCATGTCCTACGTGGTCTGATTCCTAAGGTACTTTTGAAACGAAAGGTAGTGATGATTAGATGCGGTGCATTTAGTAAGTGCGTAACACTTGGCTGTTGCCAAGAAAAGAAATAGCACACACACCCCACCCCCGCAAACAGAACTTCCCAAATCTTGAAATGCCAGCAACTGCTTCTGTTAATCAATGAAGCTTGGACTGTGCCCAGAAAACATACACAAATATTATATGTTATTTACCCTGACGATAGGGAGATTAAACCCAACATGATGGAGAAGAGAGTGTTACATTCTATCCTTCCAGTTCCTGCTCTACAAAGTGAGGCATGAGCCCCAGATGATCACTAAATTGCATCCTTCAATTCAGTTACCGGTCAATTAAAAAAAACAAGTTCTTCCACATCCTGCCATGGTTTAAAGATCAGTAGCTCTTAAATATTTTACTACCGATTGCCACCTGAAGGGCCAAGGAGATAGTGGTACTATAAATAGCTCCTCCTCTGAACAGCTGGAAGTCAGATACCTGTATGTAGGACTGACCCATAATATGGCCATCTTTAAACAACTCCCTCTCAGGTGCAGTCTCCATGTGCAGCAGAAAAAGGCACTAGAGCACTGAGGGGGTAGACAGAACAATTTCTGATTACAGGTGCATACTTTTAAAAAATGCTTTTCAAACTTGAAGAAAGAAAAACTGGCAAAGCGGGAGGAAGGCTGGGCTAGAACCTGACTGGCTGCCTGATATGCCAGTTTAGCATTTGCAGTGAAATTTCCACACAAAGTAAATGGTATAACACGCCTACAATACAAACACATGTCACATGTCAAGAGCCAAGGCTGACACTGTAGAGCCATATGTTTGGGGGTGCTGCTGCTTTGGCTTTAACAAGGGAGGTATCAGCAGGCTTGGGGGACCCCCAAAGCCTGCCGAAGTACAACAAAGATTTAGGGGGAAATGAACTCTAAATGGGTAGAGAAATCCCCCAAGAGTGGCCACAGAATGCTCACAGGCTGTTGCTGGGTCTATGTGAACTGGAAGGGGGAAATGGGTGGGAAGGGTAATGGAATTGAGTATCCTGGGAAAGGCAGACTGCAACTTTTGGCTAATCAGAAATTAGATGACCAAGTGTCTATTAGTTTGGAGGCAAACTGAGGTCACCCACAAATGATATTGATGATATTATCATCATCACCACCCACCACCACCAGTTCAACTGGAGGTGAGTAATAATAAATCAAGCATACACCCATCTGCATAAGTGCTGGCATGCAATGTGACCAAGAAGAAAGCTGCCATCTCAAACGTTGATATCAATAGATGAGACACCTACATACTTACTGTTCTCCACCCAAAGCTAAAAAGGTAAAGCATGCCAGAATTATGGTTCTTCCGCAGGGGACTTAAGAGCTTTCTAAAATCCTTACACACCTTTAAAAAAAGATTACAGGTATTTAAAGAAATTGCTTGCTGATTGAGGGGACCTTGGGGTATTGTGTGCTTGCTCCTCTACTGAAGCTGCAGAATTACCTGATTATAGGGATAAAAGAGGGTGCAGATGGCGCAGTATGGCTCAGTCGATGCTGCAACAGCATTGAATCGCCTCTCCGCAGCGAAGTTGGGTGCTTTGTTTTTCCACAGCAGGGAAAGCAAGGACTTCAAGGGCTCAGGGTCACCAACATCCTCCTCACCAGAGAATGGGAGGGTTTCTAAAGAACAAGATGAGGAGAGAGAGAGAGAGAGAGAGAGAGATATCAGGGTTAGGTAGAGAGGCAGGAACAACGACTAGGGATGACCCACTTTGTAAGACCAATCCACTCAGCCATAAAGGAGACACGATAGCAAGTCATCCAAAAGCCAATCAATTAATGAAACAAACACACACACATTTTTTGTAAACATGTACCTACCAAATACCTGAACACTCAGTCTAAGTGAACTTTTGTTTATCAAAAATATAAGCTTAGACTTCTGGACCTACTCAACCTTAATGGCTGGTTAAAACAATTGTGAAAAAAAGAAAATATAAAGTGAAAAGCAACCACAGTACTGCTATAGAGAAATCAGCTGGGGTTAGCTAGCCTTGGAGCAGTCAAACCACCCTAAAATGTCATGGAGGAGGCAGTAACTTTTCAGTGCATCAGAAGAAGTTCTTATCTCCTCTTTGTCAGCTGCCTCGGGACCCATGTGTGGAAGCCATTACTGGCTACAAGCTACCTCTAGAACCCAAAACCGCGTGTCTCTGAATACCACTTGCCAGACAACAAGGGGAGAGAGAGGGCCACTGACTTCATGTCCTGCTTAGGAAACAGGATGCTGGACTAGACAGGCCTTTGGTTGAATTCTGCAGAACTACTACTACTACCAATAATGATGATAATAACAACAACAACTACTACTACTACAGTGGTACCTCTGGTTACATACTTAATTCGTTCCAGAGGTCCGTTCTTAACCTGAAACTGTTCTTAACCTGAAGCACCACTTTAGCTAATGGGGCCTCCCGCTGCCGCCGCGCCGCCGCCACGTGATTTCTGTTCCCATCCTGAAGCAAAGTTCTTAACCCGAGGTACTATTTCTGGGTTAGCGGAGTCTGTAACCTGAAGCGTATGTAACCTGAGGTGCCACTGTACTTTATTATTAATATGCTTCCCATCTGATTGGGTTGCCTCCGCCACTTTGGGTGGCTTCCAACAAAATATTAAAACACGAAAACATTAAAAAACCTCCCTGTGCAGGGTTGCCTTCAGGTCTCTTCTAAAAGTCAGACAGATGCCTATTTCCTGGCATCTGATGGGAGGGGGTCCCACAGGGCAGGTGCCACCACCAAGAAGGCCCTCTGCCTGGTTCCCTGTAACCTCTCTTCTCACAAGGAGGGAATTGCCAGAAGGCCATCGGACCTGGACCTCAGTGTCCAGGCTGCTGGAGACACTCCTTCAGGTATACAGGTATAACATGCACGTGGTTAAAAAGTGAAGGAAGCAACTGGCACATTATCTGTCTGGATTGTTCGGCACAGAGTGTTGCTCCCCCCAAACACTTCCATGCAGGCCTCTCATTTCCCAGCTTCCCTCCCCATGCACAGTGGTCTTGTTTATACTGGTAAGAGCTGCTCAGTTCAGAAGTGCTGCCAATTCCTTGATGGGGAGCAGGAAAAGTCACAATTTCATGTGGCCAGGCTTGACAGCTCTGTGACTCAAGCCCCTGAGAAGTACCAGTGCTTCATGACAAGACTATCCTTCAGGTGGGAGGCGAAGCCTCCTGGCTAAGATCTGGCAAGCCAATGGGTGGAGAGGTGAAGCTATCACCAGAAACAGAAATGATACAAAGGATAAAAAAACTGCTGCCAGCTGTCACCTGCAAACCTCTCCCCTAGACGACTGTGGAGGTGCTGTGATGCAATCAATGTTCACTCCATTCTAATTGTTCAGGGGAGAGCTGTCAGCGAATAAAATGTCGATATCTTGCACAGATTCTGTGAAGGAATGGAAAAGCTAGTTTTCTGGCTGTTAATCTATATTGTAATGCAACCAGGGACGTTGTGGTGGCAAAGTCAACGAAGCCTGATTGGCAGAGCTGTCTTCATGTCAGAGATAGGCAGGAGGGCTGCAGCCTGCCAGAGGTTCAGTTGCCTAGGATTTAAAGAGAGTTAGGGCAATTCAAACAGCCCAGGAGAAGGACAGGCCTAAGAGAAGTGGAGGGCAGGGGAATAAAATACAAGGAAGCTGGAAGGGGCTTGCAATGGGAGTAATCTAGAAGAACGAGGAAATGAAGAGCAATCCAGAGGGACGCATTTGAGAGAAGGGCAAGGGGTAAGAAGAGAAAGGAAGGAAGTGTGCACATGTAGTAACTTAAAGTGGCTAACCAAAGTATCTCTTCTGTGTCTCGCGATGAAAACAGACCATTGGGCTTAATGTGATAAGTTCCTTTTTCACAATGTATGGAAGGTATGCTCAAATGTGCTGGTCCTACTCTCTGCAACAGAAAAAGCAATGCAATTCTGCTTTGTAACTTGCAATCCCGTGCAGGAGAGACTTCCCAGTTTCAGGACCTAGCACATCAGCAAACAGTGAATACTTTCAGATATGCTAACTTTTCCTTAGCAGCAAAAATAACAGGTAAGAGGAAACAGAAAAAGAGGTATGGAGTATTTCCAGGCCCAAATAGCACTGTCTGAGAGCCAAATACCACCACCCTACTCTCCCCAGCAGAGAGAACCAATTCTCTGGGGTCCACAGCATGTGTGCCACCCACTGCAAAACTTATCACGGCAAATCCAGTGTTCCACTTTTCTACAGTGAATGAGGATATCACTGAACTAGATGTTCATAGCTGCAGCCATCCCAGGGTGCAACTTCTACAGAAAAGGCAACATCTAAGCATGGATTGTCCCTAGTTTAGGAGCTGTGCCTGTCCTAGCACCCAGAGCGGATGGGGAAGGGAGGGGGGGGGGAAAGGAAGTATTCCTCTCTTTGCCTGACAGTCCTGGTGACAGAGTAGGGCCCAACCTCTACCTAAAAGAGGAGATGGGGTTTCCTGCCTTTCCCTGGGAAACAAGGCATCTGCAGCTGGTCCTGCATCAGGACCTAGATCATGACCTCCACCAGCAGAATGTGGCACGTAGGCCTTGTGTCTTCCTAATGGGATGGAAGAACTTCCAGTGGAGTGATGCTACCCTCCTCTGCAGCCTTGGGCACACCGCAATACCCACGCACCTGCCTGCAATGACCACCCAGCAGTGCCTCATCCTCATCATCATATAGGTGAAGGTAGGTGCCCAAAGCTCTGAGGAGACCATCACACACCTTTGGGAGCACTTGACTTCCTGGGTTCCGTTTTCCGTGCAGCTGCCCCACCCACATCTGCCCATGCCCCTTTCAGAGGAATCTATCAGTAATGTATGACTACTCTCCCTTGCCTGGACCAGAAGCGTTACAGATGCACTGCTCACCTGTTTAAACTGCGCCTGCAACTTAAATGTATGTATTTTTGCTGCCCTAACTCCCCTAAGGGGAAATGAGGAGGGAAGAGAATAGAAACAGGCAGACGGAAAAGTTTTGCAGAACTCCATCAACACCCTGTCCCTTGGCACGAGACAAGGCCGAAACTGGAGGAGTCTCTCCCACGCATTGTGGCAGTTACAAATCTGATTAGCACAGCCTTGCAGATTCAAGCACTTGAGGATAATCCTCTTTGCTGTAGGGTGGGGTGGGGTGGACAACAACATTTTGTTTCGAAGAAGACTTGAACCATCAGTCTGGACATAGGATAACCATGGCACAGCATTGCCCATTTCTATAGTCATAGGGAAGGGGGACCTCTGGCTCCTGAGCACTTTCCACAGTCCACGCCAGGTGTGTGTCCATGTATGCACAACTGTGTGTCTGATCATGTGCTAAGAGGCATTTATGCTTCGCCCTGCCTGTTACTGGAATGTGCCACACCCCAGTGTCAGGAGCTACAAAGTTGTTCCTTTCTGATGCCCAAATTCTAATAAGGAAGCCACTGGCCTGTATTGGCAGATAAAACTCCTGAAATGCTATGGCACCTGGAGGATTAACGGATTCCTTATGGCATGTGAGGTTTTGAAAGATACAGATGACTTGGTTGGATATTATGATTTACCATTGCTAATTTAATTTGTTAGTCACTTTTTCTTGTCCAAGGCAACTCAAAGCAACTTACGAGCAATCAACCAAACAAACTAGAAACAAATCCACATAGATACATTAAAATCAAGGGGGTATGGGAAATTAACAAATCTCACCCACTCTAAAAGGCCACAGGTAGTTAAGAGGCAAAATTATAGAGGAATCATAGAGGAACATTTCTGCCTGGCAACTAAATATATATAATACGATGGTACCAGGTGAGCCTCCCTGCGGAAAGCATTCCACAAACAGGGAGCCACCACTGAAAAGGCCCATTCTTGTGCTACCACCCTCCAGGCCTCTGGTGCAGGGGGTACAGGATTGTAGGGTCCATCTTGGTGCATATGGGGAAGAGGCGGTCCTTGAGGTATTGGGTCCTCAGTCAGCAAGCAGCCAACCAGACAGGCGAGGGGGAAATTGAGAGAGTCAGCATGGTGTAGTGGTTAAGAGCACTGGACTAGGACCTGGAAGACAAGGGTTCACTGGGGGTGACCATGGGCCAGTCACAACTCTAAGCCTAACCTACCTCACAGGGTTGTTGTGGGGAAGGGGAGAAGTATATACATCACCTTGGAGAAAACGATGGGATAGAATGAATGAATGAATGAATGAATGGTGGCCTTAAAGAGATGTACAGATGAACACTTAATAAAGAGCAACCAATATGTGCTTCCTCACTCAACAGGTTTGTATGCACAAGGTCTCAAGTTCAATCCCGGGCACCTGCAGCTAAAAGGTTGCAGGTTAAGTGAAAGACCTTTGGGCTGCTGCCATATCCTGAAAGTTTGGATACCCAGGTGGGGATCCGCTGGCTGACAGGAATAATACTATAACTATCTGTAGAGATCGAGAGGCAAGTGAAGACACACACACACACACACACACACACCCCTACCTCCACCTACCGTATTTTTCGCACCATAGGACGCACCGGCCCATAGGACGCATCAAGTTTTTGGGGGGGGGAAATAAAGAAAAAAAAAATTATTTCCCCCCCAGGTGCCTGTGGGGCCGGCAGCGGGGAGAAGCGCTCTTCTCCCCGCAGTCCGCCTTCAGACCAGGTCCAGGGACAGCGGGAAGACGCGCTGCGCCTCCCAGCTGTCCCCGGAGCTTGCGGGGCAGGCAGCGGGGAGAAGCGCTCTTCTCCCCTCCGCCCGCCTTCAGATCAGGTCCGGGGACAGCAGGAAGACGCGCTGCGTCTCCCAACTGTCCCCGGAGCTTGCGGGGCTGGCGGCGGGGTCTCCCCGCCGTCAGCCTCCAAACCACTTCGGGAGAAAGCGGGATGGCGGCGTTCCGCCTCCCTCTGTCCCCGACCTTGTGGGGCTGGCGCTGGGGCTCTCCTGAAGCCTGGAGAGCGAGAGGGGTCGGTGCGCACCGACCCCTCTCGCTCTCCTGGCTTCAGTGAAAGCCTGCATTCGCCCCATAAGACGCACACACATTTCCCCTTCATTTTTGGAGGGGGAAAAGTGCGTCCCATAGGGCGAAAAATACGGTACCTGGGAATATTTCCACCAGGGAAGATGGGGAGGGTTGGACAGCATAGCTAGAAGGTGCTCGGAAGAACCTGTATACTTACCCTCATCACTTGAAGCTTCCTGTTTCACCACAGAAAGTGGGGAGCGTGTGGGGGGCTTGCCCAGTGGGTGGCGGCGACTTTTCTTAATCTCCATCTTCAGTTTAGAGAAAGTAGAAGTTGTCTGGCGGGGGGAACAATGACAAAAGAATACAACCGTATTATTTCAATCTATGTCAGCTAACTCAGGATGATGGAAGCAAGGCGCAGGTTACAGTGAAAAGATTTGAGGCAGGTCATCGCTACCCTTTGCCCTGTGGTGATACCAGGTCAGTAAAGTCCTGCGAGTTGGGGGGGGGAGGAGCATAGTCAGAGCTGTGCATCCCCTTACGCTACAAAAGCCCAAATTCCACAACAGAGCAATGTAAACTCTGAAAGTGAACGCAGTATGCCTATTCATCAGGACTGTTTAGCAATTTTGCTTAACCCAGCCTGCTTCTGCCATGGATGAGGAGCCTGGAACTACAGAAGTCACTGAAAGGACTCTTCTGCATTGCACATACGCTTTCAAGCCTTTCTCCGCCACCACAAGGGCTAGAAACCTCAATCAAATCAAAGCAGAAGCCCTCAAGGCCCTGAATTCTACAGCAAATCCCTCCCCTTGCACAGGATTGCAAGAGCATATAACACATGTACCTTTGAGAAGGGTTACGGTTATTTTCTATATGGATACTCCAGCGTGAAAGTTCTGAAGACCTTTTAAATGACATTAGAGACAGGATTTGGGCAATGAAAACAGCTAATGGGGGGGGGGGTGTTTTGAAAATTTTTCTTTTCCAAAAGAGGCTTTTAAAAGCAGGACTGGATAAGTATGTGACAGAGGCACTCTATTCAAAGAGCTACTAAAGAGAGGGCTTTCTCAATCGTGACACTCCACTTGTGAAACAGGCTCGTGTGGCACAAGTCTTTTCATCCCCAGATGACAATCTTTCTATTAAAACCAGGTTTTTTAGAACACTTGTGGTTTTTATAATCTGGGTGTCTTGGTTTAACAAGTCACATTTTATTGCAAAGATTTTTTTTTAAATGGGCAATATCATCAAATTAAACCATACTCAGTTATGACTAACACAATATATCGCCCATTTTGTGTTGATTTTAAGACAGTATTTTATTTTAACTTTTGCCAACCTTCTAGAGACAGGGAAGGGATTGCACACAGGCAAGGGTCGCATCCATGCCATAGATCTGAAGCACTCTCGTGCCACTTTAACAGCCACAACTTCATTGGTCCACCAAACTAAGTGTTGTCTATATAAGCTGACTGGCAGCAGCTCCCTGGGGTTTCAGACGGGAGTCCCATTCCTATCTGGAGATGCTGGGGACAAAATCTGAGACCTTAGTCTGCCAGATCTGAGCTATGGTCCTTTCTCCCAAGATAAAGTATGAGTCTAGTCATCCTGGTTCTAAAAAAAAAAAAGAGGGTCGATTTAAAAAGGAACTCAGAAAACTGCCCTAGATCAAGGCAGTATTGACAGTGATAACTCAGGGTTTCTTACAGGGGTCTTTCCCAGATTTACCAGGTGATGCTGACAATTGGGTCTGGGGACTTTTGCATACAAAGTAGTTGTTCTACACTGGGCAGCCACAGCCCTCCCTCTAGTGAATGGTCCAGATGGTGAACACTTCACTGTGCTGGTTGACAAGGAGCTCTGCTAATGTTGCAAGATACACATTCAGACTCTTGGGCTGCATTCTGGAGAACATGGTGATTCATGGGCACCCAGGAGCTGGCCATCTCCACTCCCGCGATAGCGTAGCCTGCGTCTGCTCAGGAAGGCTGGATTAAACGATGCACGGAGCTGGGAGAACCATAACCGAACAGTTCTTACGGACGCAAGCTTTTCATTTACCAGGCAGACTTCATGTCCCCAGTTGAGGCACCGGCTTGTTTCTCCTTCCGCATGCGTTGTGTTCAAACTCCTAGTAGCTTTCATAGCAAAACCAATGAATACACACAATTGTCACACCTACCTGCTGACATATATGCACACACACACATCCATCTGAATTTTAAAGCCCACAAAGCCAATTATTCCAGAAAGGCTCTGTCAGAGAAAGGGTTGCCTAGCGGTATAGGCACTCCAAGGAAATTCCGTGTGTTTCAGTAATTCTCAGTTCTGCAGTGGGGAAGAGTCAGGGCCCTTTTCTTCATCTACATTCTTTGTGCACCACTGAGGGGGCTGTGTGGGCTTTTCCTTTTTATCCAGAAATCAATTTACTTTTTTTTAAAAAAACGTGTCAGGGTTCGTGGAATGCTGACTGAGTATACAGTGCCAGAGAAGGGCCTACCAATCACAACTTTTTATGACAAAACTCAGAATTAATCGTGCTATTTTTATTCTCAATGCCAATATCCATGGGTGAGTGGAAAGGAGAAAATATACACTTTCACGACCCGGACTGGGGATTTGTTCCATGGAACAAAGACCCATGGAAAGTAATGGCTCAGTCAGTTGTGTCCTTTAGTTTCCTCAGTGTGCGAGCGCGCCTGTGTGTCCCTCCACACACCTACAAAGGTTCAGTCACATGAGCAGTCTGAAGCAATACAGCTCAGACACAACTGTGCTGCTCTTATGTCTTGGCTAGGGAGAAAATCCAAACACCTTTGTTCTCTGCTTCTGAGAATTGGGACAGTGTGTGGAGGGGAACTGCAGGAGGGGGTTCAGTATTTGCTGCTCTGGGTCCGGGGGGGGGGGGACTCACTACAAGCTAAGACAGCCCTGCAGTTATTTCCTAGTTACACATTCTTATAAAAACTCTTCACCACTTGGCAGCAGAGAGGAAGAGCTCTTCTGGAATACACCTCTCATTCTACCTTTTTGGGGACATTACCCTGAAGTAACGACGTCTGCCAGCAAGGAGTTCCCAAGTAGTTCAGCCACATGTTGTTTCTCTGTGGAACTGCAAGCTCTATGCTCCCCTGAGATGGCAGCCCTGCTCTTGGCTATGGGGGGACTTATTCTATGATAGCTGATACTTTTTCAGCCTGCTTCCACTATCACCCCAAAAATATAATTGCAGCCTTCAAAGTGTGTTTCGTTCAAGGCCCAAACTTCCCCCTCACCCCCCTATTCTGCTCCTAGCTATCCCCAGCTTCTTATAATACTACTAATGCATTCTTCTTCTTCTTCTTCTTCTTCTTCTTCTTCTTCTTCTTCTTCTTCTTCTTCTTCTTCTTCTTCTTGGAGTGCAATTTTAAGGAAATCCTGTGACACCAGCATGCGCAAAAAGTGGAAAGCTGCATGGGCCAATAAGGGATAGAAACTCTGACAGTAAAAAAATGCCCATCTTTAAAGAGCAATGGGGTATTTATGCCAGGGAAAACCGTATGTTCACAGGCCCTCCTGCCACATCGGAAGCGCTGCCCTCCATCACTACCTGGGGCTGCCAAGCATAGGTTCCATTTGTTTCTAATGCTCAGCCAGATGGTCTTACATCAAACAGACACGGAATACCAGCCTAAAAACTCAAAGGGGGACAAAAGAGACCACAAGGAAAGAAAGAAAATGAAAACAGCAACACCACCATTTATTGCCAGGCTACAAGCCACAGGCACTTCACAGCCAGACAGTGTAAAACATTGCACCTGCTCCGCCCATGCGCTGGCCAGCAGCACAAACACGGGCAAAGAAGAGTTCTGCTTTGGCATCAGGCACTTAACACGTTGCAGCACAGTCTGATTTCTTGGAGGCGTCTGGCGCAGCCAGCCATGGAGAACTCCCATGAAGAGCCAAGTGCATTCCAGCGCCACTCAGGACTGGGCAGAGGCACCCAGAGGCGGCCCCGTTAAGCCCAAAGGATCTTGTTGATTTTCAACCGGATTTTTCTCCAGTCAGCCGCCACTATGTCCGAGTACTGCTTGTACAAAAGGTGCCTCAAGCGGGCAACCACGTTGTGCGGCAGAGCACGCTTCCCTCTGCCCCCGCGATAGCTAACAGTGCTTCGCCACCTCCGCAGCTCATCCGGGGGGACCATACGGGTGAACAAAGCTGCAGCGTATCTCGCTGGCTTGCCGCTAACTCGCTTGAACAACTCCCGCCTCTCCCTTCTAGGGATCCGCCACAAGGTGATATCATCCGAGCGTAGGACTGCCTGCAACAGGTGAAGGTGCGTTACTTACACTGGAATGTGCAATGGCCACCTCCCCACATTAGAAAAAAATAATAATACACCCTGAACCACTCAGTTTACACTGCACCACACTCATCTGGGCAACCCTGTTCACATTCCAGGGGCTGAGGGTGGAATGCAGCGTTCGAAAGGGCACACAATGCAACACAGACAAACAATTCGACAGAGAAACAGACAACACACAACAAAAGCACCCCAAATTTCTTGGGCTTTGGAGATCTGCCTGATTTACTTCAAGCTTATCTCACTTCAACAACGGTACAGTGGTTCTTTGCTTATAAGCACAAATTCTTCCCTATCAATGGCTCCCTTATTAAGGTCATTCCTCTTGGGCCCTGAGGAAATATTATACTCAGGGAACAACATGATTAAAAGTATATAACATTAACATAAATGACAGTGTCATTAAGCAAATCTCTCTGCTTGGAGAGGAATATAATGGGTGCATGTGGGGTGGATGAGGCAGGGGTGGTGGTCATGTCAAGAGCCAGTGTGGAGTAGTGGTTAGCGTACTGGACTAAGACCTGGGATTCCAGTCCCCACTCAAGTTGTGAAGCTCTGTGGGTGACTTTGGGCCAGTCATGGTCTTTTAGCTTGACCTACCTCACAGGGCTGCTGTGAGGATAAAATGGGAGAGGAAGAACCATGTATGCCACCTTGAGCTCCTTGGAAGAAAGATGCAATATACAGTGGTGCCTTGCAAGACGAAATTAATTCGTTCCGCGAGTTTTTTCGTCTTGCGATTTTTTTCGTCTTGCGAAGCACAGTGTCGGGAAAGTTTTGGAAAAGCTTCAAAAATCACCAAAGTCTTCAAAAACCTCAAAAAAGGCTACCACACCGCGTGCTATGAGTTGCTCCTCGAAGTCAAGTCGCAACTGTATTAACAGTGTTAAGAAAAAGGAAACAAACTTGCAAGACGTTTCCGTCTTGCGAAGCAAGCCCATAGGGAAAATCGTCTTGCGAAGCAGCTCAAAAAACCAAAAACCCTTTCGTCTTGCGAGTTTTCCGTCTTGCGAGGCATTCGTCTTGCGAGGTACCACTGTACATGTAATAAAACAAATAAAAAGTTTGCAGGCCAACTGAGTGAGCCACTTAAAGGCTGAAGAAGAAGGTGATATCACCGGCCAAACACAACAGGTCAGAGACAGAGTCAGATGAGAAGCACACAGAAAGAAGAGTCTGCCCAGTGAGCTGGTGGGGCTTTGTCTCAACAAGAAGCCATTTCAAACTCCTATAAGCCTGACAACATCACACTGCACTTTCAGATAAACTGTCTGTAGCCACCAATTCCAATACCGCATTCTGAGATATCACTGGGGGAATTCCCACTTGGCAAGAGTCAAACTCTAGGTCAAACCTCTACTCAATGCCTGCCCAATTTAAAAGGAATTCCAAAAACACAAGACTTACAAAGCCACTAGGTGATTTACAGAAGGGTAGACAGATTGACTAAGTATACAAAACCCCAAACTCCTTTTAAAGTGAGGGTAGGCCCTGAACATTAAAATCTGATGAACTTGATTCAAAGCACACTGTTTCAAAATTGGTATAATTCCTCTCCGGGTAACACACAAACCATGAGAAAATGCGACAACAGGGCAGTTCTGTCAGGACACTGCAGACTACAAGCCCACAAGGTGCCCTTTTTGTCCTCTCACTATGTGCAAATGCACACAGACCACATGTGTGGCTGAAAAAATAGATACAGCAAATTTCCTATTTGCCATCATTTAATTTCTAAGCATCAAGTCCCTCCCCTCAGTCCAACTTTTTGAACTGTGTGCGTAAATTATCTGGCTGAGGCAGGGATCATTCCTTTGGCTGGAGCACAAGATAGCAAAAAAACACATCAGAAGGGATGTGATGTGCTCAAGAGCTAAGAAGAACAATGCTAAGCAAGCCTTGCAAGCAAGCCCGAAAATGCTTGTACTAGCCTGCCAATACCTAGATGGCCTGAAAGGATGAGGGGGTCTTGTCACTTGGGGGGTGATTCTTAGTCCTCACAGTTGAGGTTATTTCATGTTCGGATTCATCTGAGGGGGAAAGCAACATTAATGTCTCTGAGAAATAATCAGGTGTTTGGGGATGGGAGAGCACTAAGCCATTCCTGTCATCATCTTCCTGGCCCGGCAAGCTAAACACATGGTGTTCACAAACAATCCAAGCATCAACAGATTATCAATGCTGCATCTTCAATCAGAAGACTAAGTTATGATCCAAAAAGGCAATCTCATCAGAGAACCCATCTTGTTCCAGTGACAAGGAGGTTTGGCTTCTCCCTGGGCTCAGGTCTGTCCTCTGTTATGCGCTGACTGTGAAGACACAAACACTCTGTTCCCCACCAGTGAAATGGAACCAATAGTGACCTATCTTGCAAAGCTGCAAAGGAGGCGTGGATTTGCATTTGTCTTTAAAAAGAAAAAAGAATGCTATAAGGCAGCAGAGGATTTCTCCAAAAACATTTATCTTTGCCGGATTTGTTTGGGAAGAGCAGCCTTGTGCACCAGGCAACGGAAGTCTCATCATCCTGGATGTGGGGGATTGGAGCAGGGGAAAAGAGAGATCTTGAAGCCTGGTGTCAGGGAACTGCCATCGGAGGCAGAGGGAGAGGGAGGGCTCCAGAGGGATTCCGGAGAGCGTCCCGGGAGGGAGAGAAGCAGCACGTCTTCTGGGGAAGGAAATCAGCGTAGCACCAGTGGAGAAGGGGGGCAGATGGGGGAATCGGCGAGGTGGCTCCAAGACTCCTCGCCGGGGACCTGCGGGGAGAGCACGGGTCCTCCGATGCCCACACCCTCCTGCGCAGAAGGCTTCCGCGCAGGGAGAGTAGGCAGAGACTAGGCGTCAAAGAGCTTCTTTGCTGGAAGAAGTTCAAGAAACGCCCACTGACGGATTCTGCCAGCAATTGAGACAGCCACGGGCGCGTGGCTGTCCAGACAGAAAGGGTTCACTAAGGCAACCAACCAAGGGTGGCGCCGATTTACGCACAAGCAACCCCTAGAACCATTACACCTGGACTTGGGACTCTGCTCACACCAGCACAGGTCTACAAGCTGATTACACACAGGACACACAACCGATCCACAGCAGGCACAACTGCACCATTAGCTTCCACAGTGCACTGGCAGTGACAGCAGCATGGATTACCAAGCACTGCATCAATCCTCTTTTGTTAAAAAAAGGAGTGCTTTGTGGAAGGATGGGTTTGTCCAGCAACCTGAGTGCTAGCCCAGGCGATACCGGAAGCAGCATGTCAACACTCTGAATCCCTTCATGTCATCCCTACTAGGGACTGACAGTTCAACCAATATTGGCTAAACCTATTCTACACCTCTCTGGGCAGGGAAGACAGAGTGACATGAGCAGAGAAGGAGGCAGAAGGAAGAACAATGACACACCAGGAAGAAAGGAAACCAGCCCCCTGAAACATCCTTTATACAGACTAGAAGCCCACAGCACTGTCACTCCTAGAACTTCCTTATCGGTCAACCAGGTTCTTACAGGAAACCAGGGTCAACGTTAAACAGTGGAGGGCACTGTGTTTGAGGCCCAGAAAACAGGGGCTGCCCAAAAGATTTCAGGGGCTCTGAAATGTAAGCCTTTCACTGGGCGTCATCAGAGGGAGGCAGTCCAGCGTGGACATGGAGCATGGCATATAGGGAAATTGAGGAGTTCATGGTGCAGTGGCCTCTATGCAACTTTTCAAGGATAGGTTTGAAATGTGGTGGCTGCTTCTGCTTCCTTGTCCACTATGTTTGGAGGTGCAAGGAATTTCAAACGAGGACCTAGGGAAACTTGTTACACCCTGACCTGGCTGCTTAACCACGAGACGTTCATTACGTAGACCCCACCACACTCAACACTACCTGCAATTTACTAGGCTCAGCAGGCACATCTGCGTTTTCTCCCTCGCCGCTCTCATGTTTCACCCCAAGATCCAAGGGGGCCATCTGCTCTTGCGTGACGAACCTCTCAAGCACGTCTTGGGACGAGGCATGCTTCTTCTCTGAAGATGTCTTTTTGGGCCGCGGAACCACAAAGAGCATTGGGATAATGCGGCGTGGCTTCAACCCTTCCTCCTCGCCAGGAGCTTCGGAGGGCAGGGCATCAAGGGCAGGCATTGGGGGGATGCTTTCTTCCACTGATACAGACTTGGGGGACTGGGCTTCAGGACCCCCCTTCTCCGAACGGACCTGATGCTGCCCCTCCCGCTGCTTCAGCAAAGGTGGCTGTGGGAGTAACAGGGGAGGCAGAAGTTGTTGCAGTGGGAGCTGAGGTGGCTGGGGCAAGGGGTGGGGGTGCTGCTGCTTCTTCTTCCTTTCTCCTTTTACTTTTGGGATTCGGGTCTTCGGCTTGCATTCACCTGTTTTGACAAAAGAAGATGATCAGTTCCAACAAGGCTACTGCCAAACTCACAACAACAAAGCCTCACATTAAATTCTTCCTTTCACCCCATAACTGTAATTATTACCTGCCCTTCACTAGCAGCTCCCATGCCAGGTTACGATGATTTAGAATTCATAATTTAAAACATTTACAAGAAGTTACAGCCACAGGAATAGGGAGGGTCCTGAACACACACATTTCAGGAGTCAAAGACCAGGGTGTAGCATTTGCCCAAATCATCAGACACACCTCTGCAGTGAAGGAATCTTACAACATGGGGACTACCACAGAGAATTCCCTCTTCCAGGCCACTTTCACCTGAACTTCTGAGGGCAGCAAAACTACCCAAATGGACTTCTGCTGATCTTAACACCCAAGAAAGTCTGTACAGAAGGATCCCTGCCTTAGATTCACAATTCATTATCATCAGACATTCCCTAACCAGTATTTAATCTTAAATACTCAGCTTTAAGACCGAGACCCATGTCACCTTAAAAAATCAGCATGCTGCTGGTGCTTAATTGGAAAATTGATAATAATTTTGCACAACAATTGATTTCAGGGTGGATTACAACCTCACTAAAGCATACCGGCAAAACAGCACCCATTAAATCTACCAAAAATTAAATTCAACCACCTCTTTGGCAAACACCGGGGGTGGAATTCTATGGCACACTAAGAAGATTGTTCCACCAGTGCAAGCATTTCTGCTTGGCAGACAAAACAGTATCTCCTTTCTCAGTGTGCTGTTCTGAGGGTTCTCCCCCCAGTAGATTTGGGGAGATTTGGGTGGGGGGAACTTAGCTGAACCTGGCCCAGGAAGTCTTAACCTGGCATCTAAATGAAAAACAGGGCAGAACTGGTCACATCTCTCTGGGGCTGAAGTTCCACAAATGCAACACCAGTCAAAATTGCCTTTAAAAATGCTGAGATTCTCCAGATTTTATATAACACACCAGATCACCCTCTTTCCTGAAGTCTCTGATGGTGCAGGGAGACAAAGCAGAGCTTCTGCTAAAACTCTTAATTCCATCTCTGTGCTGCCAACACGCTCCTTGTGTAGAAGAATACATCCCTCACCTGTTCCCAAGACAGGTGACATTCAGTGAAGTCATGTGAAGACGTGCTTCCAGTACAAATGATTCAAGAACACAGGCAGGTTTTAAACGAAAGCCTGCAATGACTTTCATCTCCTCTCTCAGTGTGAAGAGAACAGGAGTTAATGTGAATTAAGGGATGGCACAAACTGAAGTAACCGTTAATGCAAACACGGCCTAAGTGAGTGATGAGAAAGTAGAATGCTCATTGTCAGGCCAGAGAGAATGAAGAGTGAACCTCAGAAGTGACCATGAAGACGTTATAAAACTCAACATAGTCCATCTTTTATTTTTATTTTAAAAACAAACCTGTGTGGTTTCCAGATTGCTGGGTTCAGTTTCGTCTACTACTCTAAAAAAAGATCTAAGAAGAGGCAAGAGCTCCTTTTGAGGCAAAAGATGAGTCTTGGCTCCCCGATGCCTTCAAGCCCAGCAGTCAGACACTCGGTTTAAGTTCATTCCATACACATAAGCCCTGCCATTACACGCTGGGCAGTCAACAAAACTTGGGAAATGAGGCATTGAACAGAGACCCCTAAATCACTTCTCTGCCAAACAGCTTCTCCTGCAAGGTCTCTGAAAGCAGCGGCAGCAACGTAGGACATGAATCAAGCCAGGCATTGAACTGGGGTCTATCACAAAATGCCGGTGATGCGTTTTTTCCTTTTTCTCCCAGTCCTCTCTTCTCATCTCTTTCCTGCCCAGTGCCCCCACCCGGCTCAGAAGCCACCACCATCCATTTTATCTCCCCACTGTCAACTCACGAGTGCACTTTTGAGATCGCACGCACACTCACTAGGCAGATAGATGCCTCAGTATTTTCCCATCTAGACAGAGGGCCGCCCATAAAACAAAAGAGAACTCCCTACCCCCGACTGCCACTTTGTTTTCCGAGTATTCCAGTACACATGCACCCCCAAATTGAAATTTCTGCCAGCCCTCCAGTGGGTCATGATGGCAGCTGCCTCGAAACTGCTGCCTTTATTGCATTTGCAGTGAATTAATGGAACTTTATTCCCCCTCCCCCAGTAGCTTCATGAATAAAGTTATCAAGTCCATTCAAGGGACAGTAAATAATAGATGTTCCACCGAGAAAGAGCCAACCCCTCCAGCACACACACACACACACACACACACACACACACACACACAATTTGATTCTTGAGAGATTGTTTTTCACCTACAAGATGTCTGGACAACTATAAAAGGTCACTCTCCTTTACGAATAGGGTACTCAAAGGGGAGTGAGATGGAAGGCAAAGAGAAATGGGGAACTGTAACCACCATCAGGAAGATTTAACAGCTTGCCTCCCAATTTTGAGATGCTGACATTAAAGTCCAGCAAAGGCTACAGGCCAGGGCTTAACACATTGCAAAGCCCGGGGAGGGGGATCAGCTAAGCCAAAGCACAGCATGGGGCTCTACGAAATGAGTAAGCTTGGAGCTAGATGAAGTTGTTAAGATCCCCCTGCAGAAGCCTATTGCTGGCAGAAGTCTGTGTCACAACATTTCCCAGAAGCCGGTTATTCCAAGAGCCTTATTTACACCAATTTATTTAAAAATAAAATAAAGAAAAGTTAATGAGATCTAGCCAAAAATAGTCAGGGGTGCATTTGTGTAAACAATACTTCAAGATAAAGCTGGTTTTGAGGCACTGCATGAAAGGAATTTAGAATTTCCTTAGAGAAATGAATGCATCAAATGAGAAGTCAAATTGGATCTCTCCCTGGCCACAAAATGTAAGATTGCATTTACACTCCGTGTTGGGTAGGGGGTGGCAGCTGCCCCCCCCTTCCTGCGATTACAATGCACTGTCCTTCACTGACTTCTAAACAGGGGGCTTTGGCAGCAGTCGGTGGCAAGTGGAACTATTTCAGAGCAGGGGTGCGGAAGCTTTTTGACCTGGTGGACCAGACCTTTTATCTCCCCAATACCTCTGGCAAGCCAACTTTTGGGAATTATCTTTTTTTTTAAAAAAAAAAATATTTTTATTGCATTTTTAAGAAAAGAAAGTCACCAAACATATAACAGACAAAGAAAGTATACAGAAAAAAGAATGGAAAATCACAGCCTATCATACATTTTTTCATAGCCCTCTGGACTTCCTCACGTCTCCCTTTCCTGCGTTCTCCGGACAAAAGTTATATTCCGCAATTTATTACCTTATTTCAAATCTTATGTTCTAGTTCTAATGTGTTATGCCTATAATTTTAAATGTTTCCATCAAATATTAAGCTACTTAGTTTAGGCATAACATTACTTCGAATCTCATTCCTATAGTTCAACTTATTCTCATACATATCTCATCTAGGCTACTGATGCCAAGTTCCTTCCTTTCAAGCACTTTCTTAACATTCAAACAATTTATAAAGTCTTTGTAGGTAATCTTTAAACTTCTTCCAGTCCTCTTCCACCTCCTCTTTTCCCAGATCTCGAATTCTGCCAGTCATCTCAGCCATGGGAATTATCTGATGTCATTATGACATCACGTGATTAATAGGTCGCTTACCCCTGAACACACTGGCAATCTCCCCACTAGTGATCTCAACATCTGGCACTCAGAAGCCTTATCCTCTGTGGATCTAATTCTCTTTTAAAGCCATCCACTTTTGTGGCCCTCGTTGACGAATTCCACAGTTCAACTACACATTGTGTGGAAAATGTAATTTGCCCTGAATCCTCCAACTTCCGGCTTCATGGGGTGCCTAGCAGTTCTGGCGTCGTGAGAGGGAGAAAACATTCCTCTATCCGCTTTCTCCATGCCATGCATAATTTTATACACCTCTATCATGTTTCCTTTTACACACCTTTCCCTCTAAACTATAAAGCCCCAAAATGCTGTAACCTTTCCTCACAGCTGATTTGGTAGGATGAAAGCAGCAGCAGCAGGGGGGCTTGCATAGCTCTTTGCAAGCAGCCTTGAGCTGCTGCTTTCAACCTCTGCTGAAGAGGTTGAAAGGAGCAGGGCGAGGTGGCTTCAAAGAGCAGGGGTGGGGAAAAGCTGAATGGGAACCAGTCCCCTTCCCTGAGCAAGGCATGGTCTGCCAGCTGATTGCTCCTCTGCTGGATCAAGGTGCATTCTCAGCTGATGGGAGGTGTGGGGGGTACGCCTTGCTTCAGCAAAGGAACAATTCTGATCCTTCTAAAATCCCCATCCTAAAATCACCAGGCAGGCAAGATGGGGAGTAGTCGTGGGCTGGCCCTTTTTAGCCAGCAATCGGGGTTCTTTGTCCAATGCTTCCTGTCTTTCGGCACTTAACAAGTATGGTGATGGTGATCAATATTTTTCCTTAAAGAGGCCTGCTGCCTGAGGCCAGACCCATGTCAGGTTGTTATTCAGGAGTATGCTGTACCGTTGCCACATGCTCCACGTGGAGGAGTCCATTACCCTCTCAGAAGAGCTTAAAACAATCTAGTCAACAGCCAAGGGTTACTATCTGAGATGGCTATATACACCCTTCAGGTTCAGAGGCAATTATGTCACTGAATACCAGCTGCTGAGAGCAACAACAGGCCCATAAAGGCAATTTGCCTTTGTGTCCTGCTTATAGGCTTCTGGAACATCTAGTGGGCCATTGTGGGGAACAAGATGCTGGAGTACGAGTTGAGCTTTTGGTCTGAATCCACAAGGTCTCCTTTTCTCTGTTTCTAGAGGGGACTCTGCCCTAATTGTGAAGAGATGCAGATATAATGATTCACAAAAGAAACAGTTCATAGGCACGCTTTGGAGAGGAGTCTGCACTCGTAACTCTTTTCCAAGGGCGGATTCACATCACTTCATTTCTGTACATTTCATTAACTGGCAACTGTACACGCAACCATCTCCATGAATGAGAACTGTATTTGAGGGCCATAAAAATACTCTGCAGTTGTCTGACGCTACTCACAGATGAATTGCTTGAAACTTATTTCCTTCACACAATTTAGGGTTGTTGTTTTTTGCACATTTACTTATAAGGTCTGAGTGGGAGCCTGAAGAAAAGGCTGGCTCTCTACTCCAGAGCTCACAATAAACAAGCACGGCTTCCTAAGGTTTCAACAGAAAATAAGTAAGTCCAGGCTGATAACAGCAACATCCTAGAAGCAGCATCAAAAGCTACTCAACCACAAAGTCAGAATTTCAGTAACAGGGCTGGAAGAAAAGTCTCCATCCCACCGATGCAGGCAGTTAAGCAGTTGCCAGTAGCGGGGCTCAGCTCCAATTTAAAAGCTGTTCATCTTGAACACAGCAATTCATCTTCCCCTCTTCTCTTCTCAAGGCTCCTCAGCTCTGCCTGTGCCACTTATCTCTCATCCCCCCAGGAGACATCGGCATTTTTCAGGCCATTTATTCCATGCTGTAACTGTTGGGGCTCGTACAGAAGCCAAGCACGTCCTGCTCAATGTGCTGTTGGCTCTTTCAAGATGGAGCGGCAGGGAGTCACTTGCTCTGGTTGTGCAACTCCTTTGCCGCACACCAGTGGCTCCTTGCCTAAGGAGTAAAACAAATGGGTCCAACAAAATCTAGGAGCGACAAGGACTGGGAGCAGTGTATTGTATTCCTGGCTTTCCTGCACAAAATTATTGCAGAATCAAGCTACTGAAAAAAGAAACATGGGCAGATCCCAATTAAAGCAGGGTTGTACAATGCAATGTTTGCAAACAATTTTTTTACCCTGCCTTTTCATTTCAAAAAGTGCCCAAAGAAGCTAAAAAATCTGTATTTTATTAAACACAAGCACATTACACACATGCAAGAGTGGAACAGGAGGAATATTCCCCAAACCTTTGATTGCTAAAGGCACACTTCTTTTCTGAAATTAAACTGAAGGCATGCTTCCCTCTTGCAGTCAAAGAGGGTTAACTTTTTGAGTTCCTACGGAGTTAATAGTTATCCATTCTCAGAGAAGCCCACCTGCTCTGCTTATGACCATACCTCCCCTAAGTACAGGTAATTCTGCTGTGTCATGAATGACTGGATGATCCAATCGCTTCTGATAAAGGCATATAAAAAAATTATCTCCCCACCCCACTCAACATAAGCTATTTGGACAGAAGAAATGCAAAACAGGGAAACATGTTGAGATGCAGTAGGCAGCCTCTTCTCTGAGTTCTCAGGAGACTTAATTTTAATTAAATGTGTTTTTCAGAACACATTAATGTCCCTCAACCCACAGTCGGAGGAGTAATGGAGCAGAGCCTTTGCGAGAGAAATCTAAGTTCTACAACTTGAAGCCCGCCCCCACCGCAAACTAGCTTATTCTATTTCTGCTAGCCGTTTTTATGTTGTGAGCTGCCCTGAGATCTGTGGGTGAAGGGCAGTATACCAATTTAATAAATGAAATAAAAATAACGAATGGCAAAGGGTTGTGCAGGATAAAGAAGTGACACTGCTTTGATACTGGAAGTCCTGCTCAGACACCCTGCTCCCAGTAGCCATAAGCAAACTGTAGCCTCCTGTCATTTTATTTAAGAATGGAAATGAAGAATTTAAGAATTTTTCACCTTCTACTAATGCTCCCTTATGACCAATCAGAGTAATATATATTTCTCACCACCTAGTTTTTAACCCGCCTGTCAAATTTCTTACATTTCCACACAGTGGAATTACAAGCTGATGTTAGAACATAAGAATATGAGAAGGGGCCTGAAGCTGGAGAAGAGCGAAGGTGAATCTAGTCCCGCATCCTATTCTCACAATGGCCAACCAGGTTCCTGTAGGAAGCTTGCAAGTGGGATTTTAAGTGTTGGCTGTATTAGGCTCTTTATTATTGCTTTTAGAAATTGTGTTGTGCTTTCTTATTGATTATATGTTTTGCGGTTATGCTGCATGCCACTCAGGGTACCATTCGTAGAGAAGCAGGATATATAAGCAAACAAATAAATGCTGCTGCTGATTACACTGCGCCCCTCGGAATCTTCCACAAGCCTCCCTTGTTCTAATGAAAGGTGTAGCAGCCATACAGAGGAGAGATTCCACCCTTTCCAAAGTACGGAAGAAACATGTATGTCTTTTAGAAAAGCTTAAGCAGCTTTGGAAGAAACTTCCAAGGCCTGTCAAGAAAGCTATTTTAGGCTGAATTCTTAATGGCTGTAGTAAATGATGGTATATTTCAGCAAGCATAGATTTCATTTTGGCGAAGAAGCCTTGGTACTCTCCAAAAGAACCAACAATGCCCAGTGAGAATTCGACAACTGAATTCTGGAGAAATTGCCCCACTTTTGCCCTCTTGGGCCTCAAAGGTGACATTCTGAAGGGCTTCCCCCTTAGTCCAGGGGAAAATGAACCCAGAGATTAGCATTACCCCCAGACCCACACTCGCAGTTCCTTTCTCCCATGAATTCTGGTTTGGACAATGCAAAGCCAGCTGCTCTGTGGTTTGTACCCTTGCTGGGCGAAGGAAGAGGGCAACCAGAAACACTTCAAGCTGCCTGCACCCATAAACAGTCAGGATTTTGTGTCGTAAAGCTGGGAAGGATCTTGAAAGCCATTCCCAGTCAGGTACCCTAACAGTTTTCATCAGTTTTAAGGTGGTTTCATGTGGTCCTATCTTGAAGATTCTCTAGATCACTGGTAGAGGGTTGGGATCATTGCCATCAGTGAGCCACTGAGTCCATTTGCGGCCCCTTCTACCAATCTCACTCTAGAGGAAGAGTCTGGCACCTGGACTGTAATATCCACTGCCAAGAGCCATAAGAAATGGTCCCCCCCTGCCCCCGCCAACATATCCTTAATTATATTGTATCTTTGTGTGGAATTTAATTTAAAGTTGCTTTGGGAGGCAATCTTGGCTGAAAAGTAGGGCATAAACATAGTCAAGGCTTGCTTACAAAGTCCGTTGGCATTATGCTCATGAAGTGTTCCAAAAACTCCAGTGTCCTATTTACTCACTTGCTGAAGAGAGACAGCAAAGCCTCTTTTTCCAGCAGCTCGTGACATTTCTGCACTGGGAGAGATAGAGCACTCGGTCCCTGTCTCCACCAGCGTACTCACTTGCAGGCAATTCTTTGTCGACTCTGGTTAGCAGGTGAGTGCTAAAATGTAAGCCTGATCTAGAGGGGCAAGAAACATTTTTAATGAGAGCTTAGATGCTCATGATATAGAGTTCTACAATGTCCAATAAGCCTTACCCTCTTTGCCATCCAAGGCTTTGTTTTTGTCCTCTTCATCCAAACTTGGGACTCTCCTCTGCTCCTCCTTCACCTTCACCTCATCCAAGGCAGTCTCCATCCCCATGGCATCCCCAAGCAACTTTTGATCCTGTGTCTTATGCCTTCGGGATTGGCTTCGTTTTCTGTTAGCCCTGGATTTGGGAAGGGAAAGAAATGGTAATGCCTCATGAATGGAAAGACTCTGGCAGAGGAAGGAAAGCAATTGCTTGGAAGCAATTTTGTAGCAGGATCACCTGGGTGAATTTTACCCTTATGATTTCTATATAATCATCTATCCATATATATATCCATATATAACCATATATCTTTATGATGATTCTTATATACCCATGTATCTGATTTTGAATCCCTAAGGCTTCTGCAGAGCTAAATGCTTAGATTTTAGAAATCCAAAAATGACCTCTGCCCCATTTCTCTCCCCCTTGTTCTTCTAATGTACTCAATGTCTCGCTAACATAGTAAAAGGTAAAGGGACCCCTGACCATTAGGTCCAGTCGTGGCTGATTCTGTGGTTGCACGCTCATCTCGCTTTACTGGCCAAGGGAGCCGGCGTACAGCTTCCGGGTCCTGTGGCCAGCATGACTAAGCCGCTTCTGGCGAACCAGAGCAGCACACAGAAACTCTGTTTACCTTCCCGTCGTAGCAGTACCTATTTATCTACTTGCACTTTGACGTGCTTTCGAACTGCTAGGTTGGCAGGAGCAGGGACCGAGCAACGGGAGCTCACCCCGTCGCGGGGATTCAAACCAGTAGGAAGCAATAAATCTGATGTGCTGGCACTTTCCTCCGTCCAGGCAAGCTCCTCAGCTGCTAAAAACAGGAAAATGCTAACCACAATGTTCTAGACAGGAGCAGATGTTGTGTGGGGGTTATCCGTATTATCAACGGACAAAATTAAGTTTCTTTTCCTCTTTATTATTGTAAATTGGGGGAAAGGTCAGGCTGATGTACCATCTGAGGAAAGCAGAAGTTGGGGAGTATTCTTCACATGGTCAGGGGAAAGGCTTATGTATGCGCTCATTGGTTCGATTTTTGCTGCCATATGCAATTATATACAATTTTGTCATGTTTTAGGGTGTATGTACTCAGGTATAAAGCCTTACTGCACTAGGGCTTCAGGGCCCAGTCTTTGGAAATCATTCCACTGGGTCATTATTGCTCAGCAATAAAATATCACTTTCTCTTTCTCCATTGCTGCGTCTGCCAATTCTTGGACACAATTTGAGTGGGCCACAGGTACTCTATAAATCCTTGCAACCATTTCATAAGAGAGGTCAGGATAGCTAACATTGTAACGAGCCAGGCAACAGGTCAGAGCAAACATATGAAGAAAACCTTTTTGAAGACCCTTAGTGGGCGCAAATGTTGGGGATTCTAATGTGCTCAGAAGGACCCCATGTATGCACAGCTCAGTCCACCAGTCTCAGCAACAGGCCTGAAGATGGAGAGGGCGGAGCTTTGTTAATGGGTATAATCACCCCCTGTGTACATGAAGACAGAACAGAATAGGTTTCAAATCAACGATACAGGGTGACCCAATCTTGGCTGAAAAACAGGTCATATTAAGGCATGGGTAGGCAAACTAAGGCCGAGGGGCCGGGTCCGACCCAATCGCCTTCTAAATCCAGCCCACAGACAATCCGCGAATCAGCATGTTTTTACATGAGTAGAATGTGTGCTTTTATTTAAAATGCATCTCTGGGTTATTTGTGGGGCATAGGAATTCATTCATTCCCCCCCCCCAATATAGTCCAGCCCCCCCCACCCCTGTATTAAGGGATGAATAACGATCAGAAATAAAGGCATGGAACATCCTGATATTAAAGTCTGGAAGAATGTTTGTACTGTATATATTTTTTTAAAGCAAATTTTTAAAAATGCCCCAAAATTATCAGTTTCATAACTAATGGGAAAAAATGGATTTGAATAAAGGAATACAGATTGTTGGTATTAAAGTCTGGAAGAATGTTTGTACTGTACTGTATATATTTTTTAAAGCAAATTTTTTAAAATGCTCCAAAATTCTAATGGGAAAAAATTGATTTGAATGAAGGAATACAGATTGTTGGTAACCAATGAGAAGTGTCAAAGCCGCAAAGAGAGAGAGGGAAGTCAACTAACATAACAGGGATTCAAACAAGTTTACTGGAACAGAAAGCAAGTGATTGTAAGGGAAGAAAGAGAAGAAGAAATATAAATGTAATTTCTTTCTAGGAGCCTTTTGTATAGAATACTCAAATTATGGTTTGTATCCTTTGAACAAATTTGTGCATCTCATTAATTCGCGCCCCCCTTTATTATTGTATTTTTTTCTTTCTTTTCTTTTTCTTTATTCAGGTGTAATTTTGAATTTATTCTTTCTCTGTAATTTTAATAAATAAATGGTTGTATCAGTTGTAGTCCTGGATCCCCAGAGCTCATAAAATGTCCCTTCCCTTCCTCTCTATCTCCTTGTGCAACAACAGCTGCCTCATACAGCCAAAACTGTGTGGGTTCTGAGTTTTTTTTGCAGGAAGCCATGTTGCCTTTACTCGGTGTTTCTGATAAAGCAAACATCCTACATGCAGACACAAGTGACAGCCAAGAGGTGACACAACTGTGTTAGTAACAAACATCTTTCTGAAGGCTTAAAAAAAAAAAGTTGAAAAAACTTCTCTGAAGCACAGAAGCAAGATTTACCAACACCTGTCTGTAACTACTCTCTCCCTGACCTCTGTGTATGTATATGTGTGAGCATGTGTGTGCATGGATAGCTACATCTCTGTTAATTAAGTTGCTTCCTGTTGCTTTCAACCCATTAAGTGTCCCCATGCCTCTGGTCTACTGCATGCCATTGGTTTCAGCAAACAGATATGGCTTAAAAGAAAGAAAGAAAGAAAGAAAGAAAGAAAGAAAGAAAGAAAGAAAGAAAGAGCCCCCACATATTGTGGTCCCCTCTCCACTCTCTTCTCAGCCACTACCAATATAGCACACAGCAACTCAAGGCAACTTTGAATAGTCCAAAACCTACCGCCCAAGTTCCACACCTTTTACAGCCTGTCGGTGGTGGGGGCGGGCAACATTAATTCTGTCACAGCAGAACATAGCTAACGGGAACTTTTAATGAGGCAACAAACCCAACCGGCTGGAAGTGATGTGGGGGCTAGGTAGAGAAATGCTCTGCGTCCAAAAAGAAAAGAAGAAAAACCCAGAAAGGCAGACACTAGCAGAGGAATTACTAATGACTAGAGTTGAGCCATATGGTCCCTCTCCAAGTGAGTTTACTTCACACTTACAAGACAATTTGTTAGCAGGAACCCACCAGTGGAACCCAAGTCTTGGAATTTTGTTTCACTAAGATTCAGGAGAAGTTGCAATGCTTCCTCAGAAGGGAAGTGACATAGTCTCCCAATTAATAACCAGATGTTTGGAGGCTATATTTTTAGTGACGGGGGGGGGGATTGCTTGCAGAAAAATTTGGAGCAAACTTCAGCTAGTTTAACCCCATCTCTACAAGTAGAAATCAGGAGCTGCATGCTTCACTTTCATAAAGTTACACTGCCTTATGCATCACAATCCAGGTCTGTACACTCATGTTATCTAAAAGTAATGTGAACAAGGCTACTTGAGAATCTCACCACTGCTGAGAACAAACTTAGCCAAGACCCTGAGGAACTGCCAGTTACCGACATTCTCATAGACCGCTGAAAATACCTACAAGTCCAGCACCCCATGGATGACTCCTACGTTGACCCTCTTGACATGAACAGGAGTATATTCTGTCTAGCTGCACACTTGGATCATATCTGGATCCTTTAGCCGAGGAAGACAAACCTCTCCCACATCCATGACATCAAATCGGATAAGCCACACAGATATCCTTTCTGTAAAAACTAACATGATACGGAGGTAGAAACTCTTCTGTTTTCAGCTCAGACTCCACTGTCCGGCCTCTCACTGACCAGACAGTTCAACGTATCCAAGGCACACAGTGCTGGTGCCTTGTGGAAGCTAAGCAGGTCCAGATCTGGTTAGTGCCTGAGATGAGGTGACCAGCTGGGAACCCACCACGGAAGAAAAGGCAAGATAATAAACACAAATGCAACAAAACAATCCTTCATGTCTTTTCTGGTTTCCTATCCCAGATTGTAAACTGTCCTGTGATCTTCAGGTGAAGGGTGGTATAGACATTTTAATAACAATAACAGTAACAATAACAATACAGTGGTGCCTCGCAAGACGAAAAGAATCCGTTCCGCGATTCTTTTCGTCTAGCGGTTTCTTCGTCTTGCGAAGCAACCCCATTGGCGGCTAAGCGGATTAGCGCTATTAGCGATTTAGCGCTATTAGCGGCTAAGCTGTTAAAAGCCTATTAACGGCTTAGCGGCTTTGAAAAAGGGGGAAAAAGCAAAAAAATAATAATAATGGCGAGACTCGCAAGACGTTTTCGTCTTGCGAAGCAAGCCCATAGGGAACTTTGTCTTGCTAAGTGCCTCCGCGACGGAAAACCCTTTCGTCTTGCGGGTTTTTCGTCTTGCGAGGCATTCATCTTGCGAGGCATTCGTCTTGCGGGGCACCACTGTACTCTTGCTCTGCTCTACAGCCTATTTCTCTGCTCAAGGTCTTGCTCATGGCCGTTGTTGGCACCTTGAAATAAGTCACAAGTAAAATAGATCTCGGAGACCTGAGCCCCTGCTGGATGCCCTCTTGCCTACAGGACAACTCCAACTGGGGTAAGGCACAGTCCTGCTTTGCAGGAAAGAACCAACCGCAGGAGAAAGAAGGGGGACCCCTCTAATATACAAGAATAAGTTTTTACTGAGCCGAATGCATTTTTAACAGAGCTGTTCCTCGGGGCACTCTTGAACAATAAAGAACTTTGTGTGTGTGTATATGCACCTGGAGGTTTCCTCCTTCTGGATCCAACCAGCACAGCCGCTGTAACTTTTTGGATCTCCTTGGAAAGCTGTTTTGGCCAATATTCTAATGCAAGACTTAGTCATATAGGACTAGGCAGAATACGGAGGTGAAAGGTAAGAAGCAGCTAAGGGAAAAGAGCTATAAATAATGTGGTGAATGAGCAAGTACTTGACCTGCAAAAGGCCCCTGGTTCAATCCCCACCATCTCCAGGTAAGGCTAGGAAAGGACTTCTGCCCGAATCTCTGGAGAGCTGATGCCAGTTAGGGTAGCCCGTACTAAGATAAACTGACCAATGGTTTCTATAACACAGCTTTCTAGAAAGGGCAGCATACTCCTAGAAGGATTTGGTTCTTCCCCTACAGTGTTACTACTAAACTTCCTCATGTAGAGGCTGCTTTCTTCCTAAAGTGTGCTTTATTTGGGGTGGGTGGGGGGTGGAGCAGGACACACACACACACACACACACACACACACTTGGTTTCATGTCTTGTGGCAGAGCAAACCATTTATAAAAACCTTCAAATCCAATGAAAGCCTGTGGAATGGGATCACTGCTCTCTATTGACAATCCACTCTGTTGACCAATTAGCTTTAGCCACAATCAATTAACCGTTATGTAAATAGCAGCCATGTTTCAAGCCAACAGCTTCACTAAGTTAGGCAGATTTGGGGACAAAATCAGCTACAGGCTTGATAAATAAGAGTCAAGGGCAGTGTGACAAATGGCTCCCGGCAGAGATGGGAAAGTAATGCAAATTTCTTAGGTGCCAGCACACATTTTTTAGGAGCCTGCAATATCTAGTTGTCAGGCACCAGGTCTGCACAGGGCAGGGAAAATCTGTTAAAATTCCTCTCTTTTTTTGGCAGCCCAGACACCCAGGTGCCTGGGATTTTTCCAGCCCTGGTTCCCAGCAGGTCATGCTCAGCTGACAGTAGGGCCTGTGTGCCCTGCTAGAGGATGAGAAGGGACGATTAAAGGCAACTTGAAAAACTGGATCCTCAGCCAACCATCCTCTACTCTGCCAGGAGCAGACATGATAGGATTGCTGATTTAGAGTTAACAAGGTTTTCAAGCAGAAAAATGGTCTTGCTAGCATGGTAGTCTGCCCGAGCAGAGAAAATGCATTTCGGTTTAAAACCATAAAACACTTTTAAGCAAGAGAGGGTTGAGGGTGAGGAATGCAGGAAGGAGCAGGAGAAACAAAAGCAAAAATTAAAATAAGTAAAAGGTGATTATACCTGTGAGGTTATGCTAGCTAGCAAATAATTTGCAGCGGTAAGTGATAGAAGCATGACATACATATATGCAGAGCACACTTGAAGCTGGACTGACAGCATAAGCTGCTTCATGAGGCATAACGACCACAGAGAGCAAGCACTGTAATGCTGCTGCTGACAATTGACAAATGACATAACAGAGAGCTACCAAAATAATGAGGAGGAGGAAAGGCTAAGAGAGCAAAGTGCATTAAGTTGAGGTTGGGGCAGGAGGGGAGAAAAGAGAGAGGATAACATTTGTACCTCACTAATAGTCATTATCAGGGACGCGGGTGGCACTGTGGGTTAAACCACAGAGCCTAGGACTTGCCAATCAGAAGGTCGGCGGTTCAAATCCCCGCGACGGGGTGAGCTCCCGTTGCTCGGTCCCAGCTCCTGCCAACCTAGCAGCTCGAAAGCACGTCGAAGTGCAAGTAGATAAATAGGTACTGCTCCAGCGGGAAGGTAAACAGCATTTCCGTGCGCTGCTCTGGTTCACCAGGAGCGGCTTAGTCCTGCTGGCCACATGACCCGGAAGCTGTATGCCGGCTCCCTCGGCCAATAAAGCGAGTTGAGCGCTGAAACCCCAGAGTCGGTCATGACTGGACCTAATGGTCAGGGGTCCCTTTACCTTTACCTAATAGTCATTATTCCACTGTGGTGACCATTTAGAGGTCAGGCATCAGATTTGCCGTGAATCCTTTATGAAAGGACTAATTAGGCAGACAACTATCATAAATTCTCTCTCTCTCTCGCACACACACAAAATTACCAACACTGCATAGTCTTCTGAAGTGTGATGTGGCCTAGAAGCCTGCGCACGTCCTGGTACAGATGGTGTCCTCCCTGCCATTGCCTGCTTCACACTACAGTGGTACCTCTAGTTACAAACTTAATTTGTTCCGGAGGTCCGTTCTTAATATGAAACTGTTCTTGCTAATGGGGCCTCTTGCTGCCGCTGCGCCACCAGCACATGATTTCCGTTCTCATCCTGGGGCAAAGTTCTCAACTAGACGTAACTCTTCCAGGTTAGCGGAGTTTGTAACCTGAAGCATTTATAACCTGAGGTGTTTGTAACTCAAGGTACCACTGTACTTCCTAGGGAGGTTTCATCCAAGGTATCCAGAACTCTGGGAACTGCATCTCCTATGACCTCTACTGCATTGAGTGCACCATGTATGTGAAGCACTCTCCAAGCTCTTCCAGGCTTAAATGGAGAATCTCAGTAGAGATTAGGACACTTTCTAGATGTCCATAGAGATACCCTGTATGTCACAATCTATTGAAAAAATGTAAACCGATCCTAGTAAAAACAGAACTAACTCCCATACTGGTTTTGGTTTTTTAAATAGCTTTAGAGGACATAAGACCTTTGGGCCGTTTTTTAGTAGGGGCAGTGAAATCCACTGCTGGAGCAACTGGAAGAAATAATGGGATGGGGAAAGGAGAAAGGCACAAAGGCATCCCAAGCCTTCTTCTGCAATAGTAAGGGCTGGAAACTTGTTTCAAAAATGAACACTCAAACTGGGAGGGAAATGTTCTCAGGATATTAAACTCTATGACAGATAAGTCCGCTCTATGCTAACATAAAGTGTACAGAAGTGGAGAATATACACACAGCCCTGGCTGTATCAAGATCTCCGCACTAGGATTCTGAAACTGAATCCTGACTGGTATAATAAATTGAGTGTGGCAAATAAGCTTGACACTCGATAGCCATCTAAAACGCAAGAGCAAGCGAGCGCAGCTCAAGTCAGACATGTCAACATTAAATGACCTGACAGGGATATTTCAAAATTATGAAAGGATTTGAGGGAGTACGATAAGGAACTATATTTTTTACACTGGAATGGAGAGGGGGGAAACTAAAAACAACGGAAGCAGCATTCTATTGTCATAAATTAGGTGTTAGCCTGCAACCCACCCAGGTAAGGTTTGTTCTCTTCCAGAAAGCAGAAATGCACAAAAAATGCTATCTAATTCAAAAAAAAGTTGAATTACGCAGCCATTTTATATAAAGGCCCATCATTGTAGATATTTTAAAGCCTGGCACAAAAGACTGCAAAACTTGTTGGGTGTTTTCTATGACACAAACAAGCTACCACAGTTGAAAGTCAGCAGGAAGTAGGAGGGAGAATTTTGAAGGCAGCATTCCAATGGCTTCAAGTTGCAAGAAAGGAGATTCCAACTAAACATTTGGAAAAACTTTCTGACAGAAAGAGCTGTTTGAACAATGGAACAGACTCCCATGAGAGGTGGTGGTTTTTAAACAGAGGTTGGGTGGTCATCTGTCATGGATTCTTTAGCTGAGATTCCTGCATTGCAGGGGGTTGGACTAGATGACCCCTTGGGGTCCCTTTCAACTCTAAGATTCTATGATTCAAAAGAAAAGAAGCAAATAATATCGGGTACTCTTGCAGATATTGGGTTTGCTGAGCAGGTGGGGGGGGAGAGGGGGGCATGCCCTATCACTGTATCTATGCGACTCCATTGGTCAAAACTCTTCCCCACAAGAGAGGATCATGTTTAGTAAGGTCGTGTCACAATATTCCTCCTTTGGCCTAGTGGCACAGGAAAGGGGGTGCAGTGGGTGCGGGCTGCCCCAGGTGTCATCACTGAGGGGGGGTGACAAAACGAAAACTTTTTTTGGGAAAAGTAACTTCCGCACCCACCACACACCCCTTCCTACGCCAGTGGTAGCTAGGTGAGGTGGGGGGCACTGGGCGCCACACCGAGGGGCCTGCAGCATGCCTGAGCCACGCATCTCTACTGAGGGGGAGGCAGCGGGTGGACTGCCTGCAAGCTCTGCGCTGCTTTTTCGAGCAGCGTGGGGCTTGTGTCTGCCCACCGCCTCAGCTGCCCTACAGCTGAGGGGGAGGCTGCGGAGAGGCTCCACGCAAAGTGCCCTGCCTTGGCTTGCCCCGCCCCATGGGCAGCTCACCCCGCCCCTGGCTGCAGGACACACACGCCACACCGGGCACCCGAGCGGCTAGCTATGCCGCTGCTTGGGCCTGCCCTCCAAAGCAGATGTTATTTTTCTTCTCAGACAGTTCAGCAGTGACATCAGGACTCCTGTGGTCTCTCCAGAGCAACTTTGGACATTCTAAGCAGACAAGAAGTGGGCACAAAAGGACCCTCTTACTTGCGCAGCATCTTTGCTTTCAGGGCATTCTTCGTCTGATTCCAGGTTTCTAGCTCTGGGCTGGTTAGAGCCGTAGGTTTCATGTGGTCCAAAACAGTGATGTCTTTCCCTTGCTTCCATAATTCGTATCGGTCAGGTTGGAGGACCCGTACAAAAACATCCATAGAGATTTTCACCATGTCTTTCCGGCACGTGCACTGAAAAACAAAGTCCAGACACCCATCAGTTTAGTGTTACAAGGAAGAGGTGGTGGTCGTGGTGATGTACCAACAGAATTTCATTACAGTCCACATACCCCAAACTGGCTGCCACCAGTGTTCAAAATTCCCATTGTTCTAGGCACATTTCGCGACGAGGAACTTCATTAGCACAAGCAGTTTCTGAGCTCTGGGCCTAAGATTTCAGATTAAAACTGCAGAGTGGAAGGAAAGGAGGGCCTTTTTCTGCCTCCCCACTTCCAGCTACTCTCTAAAGACTGGAGAAGAGACCTTCTTAAGACTGTTAGGGGGGTGGGCTAGACCATGTGAAAATGAACATAATATTTTAGCTGCAGTTCATTCATTTTCAGCTTTGTATTCTAGTTATAAAAAAGCACGCCTAGACATTCCGTTGTTGCACCCATGCTCCCTAGGTTTCATATCTCAGTTTCTAACACTGGCTGCCACCCATCAACATCTCCAAGCCCCTATTGTTCTGACTGAACTGCTGTGAGGACATGGAATATGCACAAGCACTGCCTGCTAAGGTTGGAAGACAATAGCCCCTAAGTAGAAAGTGAAAAACCTTGCCTACACTTAGGTCCAGGAAGAGCTGCGAATAGACTTGAATAATGGGAGGCAGCGGCAGAGGCATGTAGGAAATAAGGGTGGCAAAATGGAGGGCAAAGACAAGGGACTAAGATGCCAGTGTGTATGAGGAGCAAACTCACAGTCCCAAAGACAGGAGGGGATGTGAGCCATTGATGAAAAATGAATGCCCAGGCAAGACAGATTCGGAGGCGGTGGCTGTAGGCCAGAGAGGCCGAAGAGGCAATGGGGTGGGACACATATTTGCACATACAGATTTAAAGTTAACCAACCAATGTGGAGGTGGCTGTCTTGGCTCTTTTTTGAAAATATTTATGGCTCTGAAAGTGAAGCAGGCAGGAGAGGAGAAGGGGAAGGCTCTCCCTTGCCAGGCTCCCGCTCCTTTGCTGGAGGATTGTCCCCTCCTCCCATTTTCTCATTTCAGAGAGAGAGTTCAGGGCACCACCTTCTGCTCTGCAGTGAAAAACAAGCAATAATAACCCACCAGCGCCAAACAGGGAGAGAATATTTATGGCCGGGCGATTTCCAGCAAACCCAATTCGCTTAATGAAAAATAGCAGAGGACAGAAAGAAAGATCCCAGAATGTAATTTGGCTACGGAGCTGCAGACCACAGATGGTGCCCGTGTTTCAGGTTCCTGGCTGGGCTGGAGCTCTCCCCAGAGCCTCCATCAACAGTAGCTTAAGGGATTTGTATCGAACAGCTTTCCAATAGTTCCCCCCCCCCAAGTAATTAAAAAAGGCACCTGAGTGTGTTCCCAGGGAGGGAAGGGAGGCAAGGCACTCACTTGGAGAAGCAGGGTGCTAGTCTACTGTGGTCTAAGCTGCAATAAAGCTGCATCAACAAACCCACTATTGCCCTGTCTGACTCATATGGATCACAGTGGGAACTATATGCAAAGAGATAGCACAGGCCAAAGTTGGGCCCTGCAATGTATAGAGAGGACAGGTAATGCAGCTGTGCAACGGAGTCCAATAGCTTACAACTAGGGTGTGGGGTGTGGAGGGAGGGAAAAGAACACTTCTATCAAAGTTTCCCTGTCGGTCTCTTGGAGAAGATTCTTAATCGCCATGGGTTGTTCTCTCACTACAAAAAATTAACATTTCCTTTTCCCGGACTACAAAAATAGAGGTCATTTCCAAGCATCAATGAAAGAAGTGGTTAAGAACCCTTTGCCAGTGGTTTGAATAATACAGGAGTAAGCCAGCCAATGGGGCCAAAGTTGCCCTTGATCCATTCAAAATGCTGGTTGGCAAATAATATTGAACAGGCACCATATTTTGAACTGAGCAAGGCCTGAAGGGCATTCATCAAAGCACAGGCAAGGGGACATTGAACAGTTTCCTCCCCAGTTTTTATTAAAGGATTTTCATAGCTAACAAGGGTACATACAATGACTCTGTTTTCAGTTCACAGAGTTCTTTCTATAGGACAGTTATGTTCAGTGTGAGACACTGCTGTCACAGACATTGTAAGGTTGGAACAACAGAGGCTCAGGCAGAACACCGTCCCTCATTGGGCCTCTTAAGGCATGAGCAAAGAGCTGCTTTTCTTGGAGAAAGAGGTCATAGCTCAGTGGCAGAGCCCCAGGTCAGTGAAAACAATGGACATGTAGTCTGGTTTTCTACAGGGCAGCTCTCCATCATGCAAATAGAAATTCTGTCCTGCCCTTTATTTCCTTCTTCACCGTTTATCTTCAGTCCTCAACAGGCAAATTCTGACGCCCATCTGAACATGAGTGGACCTTGCATGCAGCCAGACTGGAAAACGAGCTTCAAGTTGCTATTCCAAAGGGGTAGCTTTGCCAACAGCAGACTCTGGTGGCATTTTAAAGACATTTGCTACAAAAGCTTAACATAGTTAAATTGTAAGCAAATCTTGGTGGCATCTAAAATTTGCCTAGAAACAGTAACACAACACACCCCAGAGAAACTGAAGATACGCTCTCGTGGTTTGACTAACATGATTCTGCTTGAGAGAAGGAAGGGGGGGGGTGTACCTCCTGGATAAAAAATGTTTCTGTCACTCCCAAAGGGAAGGATCCCTCTGGGAGTACTTAATTCCAGCGTAGATTCTCTTGCTGCAACTGGTGTTATTCATATAGGCACACCCCATGAAGGCTCCAGGAGAAAAGGGGGAACGGGGAGTCCTCAGAGAGCTGCTTTACTGTCACTTGGCCGCAAAGTCTCTCTCTGGTTCTCCCTCCCCCAGCCTCTCTGCAATGCCTCAGCTCAACAGCAGGCACATTTCCTTCTCCCTCGCCCACCTCTTTACATGCACAAATCTACCATGATGTATGTTTATATTTCAATTTTAATATTATTTTATTGCTTTCACACTGGTGCACATGCATAATTTACACCCGGGCTGGGTCCTCAGGGGCCTCTTTCTGCCCAGGCGGCGATATTTTCACAGCCACTGTGCCGCATTGCTCCCACAAAAGCCTCTTGCCAAAAAGACGCGCGCACCCCCGCCCTGCATTTCAGCTCCAGCACAGCTGTGTAATCCTTTCTGGAGCAGTGAGCAGCCTGGTGCAGCAGCAAATCAGAGCGCTGCTGACAGATATAAAGGGACTGGGGGACTATTTTCTTTTTCCTTCACTGCACCAGGACCCTAAGCCAAGCTTATGTCTCCGCTTTTTCCTTTGGCACTGTTAACACCTTCACTTGAACTTCATTAACAAAACTGACACCTGATCTGATGATCTGAATAAGGAATATGGGTTGTTCTCTCACTACAAAAAAGGAACATTTCCCTTTCCCTGACTACAAAAATAAACACTGAAGCAGTTGCGTTTGTATCCCTGCTGCGACACTTTAGCAAAGGCAGGTTGCCTGGTGGGAAAATGCTGTGATTACTAAGAACCAAACTGTACATTAAAAGGGAAAAAAGTGTTAAGAGCTCCCACCACAGAATGTGAGTGGGGAGGGGGAGGAACCCCATGATTTAATGCTTCCTCATGTTAAAAACAAATAAACAAGACTATACCTGGCAGAAGAGGCTGAAATCATCAGCTTCCGATATGCTTTCTACTGAAAGGGTGGGCAGTTTCCATATCAGGGCTCCCAACCTCCACTGCTAAATTTCAGAAGGACTATATACCATGGGCTGCTTCTTAACAAGTGGATTGCACTGGCTTCATCTTTGAACTGAACCTCAACACTCACATTTGTGTTTTCCGAAAATCATGAAGCTCAAAGTTCAGAATAAAGAGTGATGGATTGCTAAAACATATAAACCGGAGTTGTGCTACGAAACATTGTTTACTGGGATGAAGCAGAACATAAATCAGTTTCCAGTTACGATGACACTTGCTCTGTCTGATTATGAAAACAACATTGAAAGTTTCAATAGTATTATGTAAGAACAAAATCCAAATTTATTGCCATTATAGGGATGTTTATTTCCTGAGTTTTTTCTCTAAAAGTATGAATTTATTTAGGGGTTTTTCCTGACTGATACATATGTTTCTAAAGTCTTACTGTTATTTACTGCAATATTGATGGTTTCTGTTTTCAACTTTTTGTTTATTCTCCCCTAACTGGCAAAAAGATACACTTAGGCACCTTAGGCTGTGGCCACACCTCTAATTACAAATACGTATGTGTTAGTACAACAGAAACAGTTATACTTTTACAATTTTATAAACATACAAGAAAGCACAACCCTGCCCCAGTGGCGTAGTGTGGGGGGTGCAGGGGGGCCGGCCGCACCGGGCTCAACATCTGGGGTTAGGGCAAATCCATGGGTTAGGGGGCGCAAATCCACAGGTTAGGGGGCGCAAATCCATGGGTTAGGGGGCGCAAATTACTTGCCTTGCCCCGGGTGCTGACAACCCACGCTACGCCACTGCCCTGCCCTGCCCCTTGCAAATTTTCTTGCTCCTCCTACCCCCAAAACCCAATTTTCCCTCAGAGTTTCAAGGTTTCAGGGTAGAAATTCAATACCTGTGGAATTGGGAGTGTCATCTAGAAAATAAACTATTGTGAGGGAGAAAGGTAAAAGACAAGCTAATCCATAAATGATGCTTGCTGAGTGGTATTTGGAGTGGTACAGATACACCTATTGGATCTGCACCTGTACAAGATTCAGAATCCTCTAGGTCAGGGATGAGAAACCAGTGGCCCTCCAGATGTTGCTGGACCACAATTCCTATCATCCTGCCTGGGGCTGAGTTCCTGGAACGTGGTTTGAAAACTGCTGGTTTTAACATGTTTTGACTGGCCTTTTCACTGCAACAGCCTAACGCCACCCCTCTCCTGGAATTTCCTCGGTTTCTAACACACAATGGCCAGGCCAGTCATACCGCAGCCTCTTGCCAATCAATTTTCAATGTATTTCCTCCCCATGACCTCTAATTGTAGCAATCAATGTGCTGGCGTTTCAAGCCC